AATAGTAAATTCGTCAGTAGCAATAAAGTCGGAAACCTTTCCCATGTCTTGTCTTTTCCTTCGTGCATTATATCTAAAGGTATGGCGAAAGAGTAAGGAAGTGGAAAATAAAAACGGTTTTCAGGAAAACTACGACATTTTCTTCAATTAGGCCCACTTTTAGAGAGAAAGTTAATCCATGATCAAAATTGTATTGATATGACATGATGTATTGATGTTGTCGCTTCTATGTTGGAGAGCATTGCTGTCTCTTTTGTGGCAGAGCATGCGTCAGCATGTTTGCGTGTGCTTGTGCGCTCGTATATGCACGAAACTAGCATGGGTATCTCAAAGAAGTAAGAAAAGTGTAAAGTCTGTTCTCGGTTAGCTTTAAAATGTGACCATCACTCTGATTAAATAATATCCTACGCTTTATTGCTAATGTGATTAGCTTTTTGTCTTCGTGCAAGGGAGAATGAGTGGAATAAAATGTATATAAAAGTGACCGTTATTACAACCATGATAGGAAAAGTCTGGTTGAGTCGCCTCCCTTGTCCAGGCTGATCAACAATTTCACTATCCTTCAGTCTCTCACTTAGGCAAACGCAGTTCTTATTTAATTTCGGGCATTCAATGTGATGTCTGGCCGTTAGCTTGGATATGACTGTCAGAATGATACTTTGTTCTGTTGACATCCGTCATATAACAGGTTTTCACTGAAATCGGAGAAGATTGTTTTAGAAAAAGAGCCCAAGAGAATGTCCCAGTAAAAGCAATCGACGCCCGGCCAAGAAGAATCAGGCGCCGTCTTCTGGTGTAAGTTTTCCTCACACATTTTTACTCAAATTGGAAGTTGTCTCAGCAATTATGGACCAAGAGGTTACTCTAAATCCGACTTTGCATAGTAGTATTTGGAGTAGTATTCTTGAAGATACTTTCGTTTGCATGAAATACATGAGGAAGATATTGTTAGTTGGATCACGACAGCTGATTTTCGTGGTTCTGCAGCCGTTTGTCTTCAATATGATATTTAGTTTGCGCAGCCTGCGAGACCTCCTTCCTCTATGCATACCTACTTGCTGTTATGAGTAGAGGTGGTTGGCCTTCTTGACTTAGTGTTAACTTGATAATTTTACGAGATTGAGTGTAAACTCTGACGATGTCCATCAAACGACCGAATAAAGCTTAGTCCAGTTTAATGGGAAACGAGGAAAGATATATCGTGGATTTCGTCAACCCGAAGGGATTCGAAAGTCGAGCTCACCAAAAGACGGTAGTGGATTCCTGCTTACCAGCTATTGATTGGCTTTACTGGAGAATTTTATTGTAAATGGTTATCGAGGCAATTTTCGATTCTAAAAGAGATTGTTTGAAAATAGCTTCAAATGAAATGTTACGGTAAAACCAATCGCCAGCTGGTAAGCAGAAATTCGCCGTCGTCGTCTCGTTTGATCAACCCTCAAATTTCTTCAAAATACACTTTCGTCAGAAATTGAAGTGAAATTATCAATTAGTATCAACTCTTGGGCAGTACCACCCAGTTTGTAATTATGTTTTCAGGACTGCTAATAGATCATAAATATGAGGTGTGTTAAACTTATTTTGTTTAAGGTGATAAGGGGACTGGTAGTTGAATTTTCACACAATCATATGAATAGACGTTGGTTTTGATTGAATATCACATAGCTTTACTTCCCAAAATGTATTCTCCTCTAGGCTGGACTGGAATGCAATTTCTATCTCTCCTAACCTGGTCTCATCAGCACCCCCAGTGGAACTAGAGCCATAACAGTGCAATCTATAATCTTGACATATTAACAACCACCACAGCATATTGCTACGAGTTCTCTTGTGTCACAGGAAGACCAGGCATTTTCTCATATCACTTTCTGTGGTGGGATTGTCGATGAAGCTATAGCAATTGACTACATTACTTAGTTTTCGTTTGCAAGTGGGTTTTCTTGACCACCAATAAATCATATATATGAAATGTGCCGTAGGGATTAACATGTTGATATTCTAAGCTTCATTGTCATTGTTCGAATTCCGCTGGGGAAGCTGATGAGATCAATTCAAGAGAGGTCAAAACTGCTGTCCAACTCAGACTGGATAAGAATAATTTTTCGGTAACAAGGCTATGTAAAATTCAATGAGAACGTAAGGTCTACTCATATGATCGTGTGAAAATTCAACTACACGTCACCTAATCACATCAAAAGAAATAAAGTAAACACATCTCAATTAGCACCCCATCACCTTTGCCTGCCCACCAGCTTAGTGGGATTCTCATTCCAGCTCCTTAACCAGCTGGCCATCGTCTCAACATAGACCCACAGAAAAGCCTGCACATACCGACATATGCACTTACATTTGAGTGGCTATGAGTTTAACTCCTGCCGGCTAGGCATTAAATCGGCCAGGTTTATCCTTTCCTCCCAACATTCTCGTCTGTATGTGGACGCATGGATACATGTGTATGTGTATAGGTGGGCCTGCGTGTATGTCAAGGGCGTGGAAAATCGGACTCACTTGACACAGCAAGAGATTGAGTCTGAGTTCGAAAGTAGTTGCCGCTTCAATTGCAAGCCAATGGAATGAACCTGTACCCCTCGACTGAGAAGAGAAGCAGTTTCCGCGGAAGGGATTGACTCTTGCTTTTCTCTCTCATTTTTCCTCCGTCCTCGTTTCTTGCCTCCCTTCGTCCGATCCCATGCGCACATTCACCCTCCGCATACGTCTTCGGCCAATCATCTCTTCTCACTTCACCCGACTCACTCGGTACTCCTCCTTCGGCCTGAGTGAGTCCATGCTTCGGTCTGGCGGCCAATGTCTGGCCAGACATGATTGTTTAACAGACTTTTTCGACTGCTTTCACTCTCAAGGCAGCGTCATACCATCGGTTCGGCTGCCTGGCAGAGCGATGCAATCGCCGCACTGGCCAATGCTCATTTTCACTGGCCACAGGCTGCTCGTCTGCCATGGCACAGGCACAAGTACAGACACACAGACAGAGACAGATACAAGCACTGGTCGGGGCCTCGTGGCCTCTCCGTCCACACACTCCGCCTCGAGACTTCCCACGTCGGTCAGTTGGTGTGATTGTAGTCTGCTCACAGAGCCGGAAGAATGCGAAAACGCCTACAGACCAACTGGAGATACAGACCTAATTTGCTTGTCTGTCTGTGAGCACTCGAGGGAATGAAGGTGGTCTTTGGGCGGTTTGAGGACCGAGCAAAACGCGTCATTCACGGTGTTCTTTTTGGTTCCACTTGCTACCATTGACCACAGCAAAGTCTACCTTTACACCATTCATCTGCGACTAGCCAGTGGCGGAGATGACGTCGAGTTGTGAGGCGACAATGTGTCATTTTCGACGAGGTGAGGATCATCGCTCCAGTGAGTTATTGCTCTACTGACGCTCGATTCGTGTCGGGCGTCAGCAGAAAGTTTCACCCGACAGTGTACCATTTTGCATCTAAATTTTTCCTTAACATGTCTAATAAAAACTCAGTTATCTTAAATGTTAAAGAGGATTTTAAAAGGGAGAGTGAAATTTTTCACGTAATACCATTTCAAAGCTACATGACACTATTGAATTTCCCTTATTCTTGCCCGACGAAAGCTTTACTTGTCAGGGCTAAACTGCATTTATGATATCGCCTCACGGTTGTGTCAGAATCTTCAACAGGATTAGCCCTAGGATAATGCCCATCGTGGCGATGTTACCCTACATTCAATGCAAATCATATTTATAATTGAAATGACTATGAAGGTAGCATGTGTCTGGCATTGCAGTCAATGACGTTACTTATTTTCGATATAAATAGTTTTCAGGGCTTTTAGTAATTCCTGAATAAGATAGACGAAGTCAAATATCATATCCTAACATACCTTACCGGCCTATGGCGACTAAGTTATTATTTAGACATTACTGATATTCTCGAAGCCTTCTTATAAGGAAAATAAGGCGAAGTGAAACCCAAGCGCATCGTTTGGCCTACGTATATTATTGTGAAGTAAACTCCATTGACAATTGTTGAGCTTACTCCCATTTCAAGTGAAAGTGTTGGGTGAAGAGATTCGAAGTTCGGTTCCACCAGAAGACGACGGCGGATTCCTCTGTCGATTGGCTTTACCTGAAGATTCATGCTGACGCTGTATCCGAGGCAATCTCCTTCGATTCCGGTGAAAACGTGCTAAGCTTTCGTCCGTCAAATGACTGACATCATTAGAGCGAGGTAATATCGTCACAACAAAATTCAAGCTAACGAGTGGAGAAAACTCACCGGCAAATCCCTAAAAAGTGGTATATTTACTCTAGATCTGGCCTATTTGATCGAGTATAAGGTGATTTGGTTAGTTAATGTCATATGTCAACTTCGATGCATGTGAGTGTGTCTGTCTCTGTATTTGTATGTGCCTGTTTGTGTTCGCTTATGCGTGAAACCCGCAGTAATGGCTCAGAGTAATTAGGACAGCAAAAAGGAACGTCTGTTTTTGGCCATCAAGGTTTAATGACCCCTATCTCCCCCTTTTTACATTTAAGTTATAACCATCACTCCGATTGCGCAAGGTCGGACACTCGTCTGGATTTGCTCATGAGCTTTTTTCTTGTTTTTTTGTCTCAATGCGAGAGAGAAAAAGTGAGCTAAGTGATAATTAACTATCATTAGAACCCAAACAAGAAAAGACTAGTTGTGAGGCCTCCTTTTTGCAGGCGGCTCAACTCCCTCTTTATCCTTCAGTCTATTTATTAAGTACAAATAGTTTTACTTATCTTCTTGCCGGTATTCCTTACATTCATGGTATTTACTATTCGGTCTATTTCTATGGCTTCTCTAATTTTGCGTTTAGCCGCAAAGCTGCCATAATCAGCAAAACGACAAGTTTGAGAACATTCAATTTCGTGTCCCGTTTCTTGCCTGTGTTAGGCAAGCTCCAATTTTTGAAGCTAACAGCCTTTGCAGGCGCTCAGCCACTGTTTGTCAAATGGGACGACAAGTCTCTCCAACAGAAAAGCGACCACATGAACACATTATTTTGTAGCAACCCGATCTGGGTAATGGGTTAACTTTCTCTCTAAAAGTGGGCATAACTGAAGAAAGTGTCGTAGTTTCCCTGAAGACCGTTTTTATTTCTCACCTATCCTTTTAGACAGAATGAACGAAACTAAAAACAAAACATGATAAAAAGTCTCCTAATCTTTCCTTACCTATTCACCATTCAAAAAGCTATTATT